GCGAGGACGTTTTCCTGTTGAGCAGAGATTATTAAAAAAAACACCAGATCCTAATTGACAACCAATGGAGGTTTGATATTTTTTTCATTTAATGAAATTGGGTGAAATTTGTGACTGACGTGTCAGCTAGTGTACCACCCCTGTGACTGTACATTTTTGGGCAACATTTTATGGGCAAATTTCTGCAGGTGAAACATTTGCTAGCAGATTTAACAAAAAATCACACATAATTGCAAAGGATAAAAATTCCACATTATAAAATGAATGTCTAGAAAGGTCTGATTCTGATTGAATGTGTCCCAATCCAACATCACTGTTGAATATCTGGATGACATTAGCCAAAATATAAATATTGAAATGTGTTGTCCAGCATCAAAAATACAAGCAGTCCATTCCAGAAATCCACTCCAGAATTTCTATCAAGCAGCACTTGGATCCAGCATTAATAACTTGAATTGTTATCTTTTACACTTTTAAAAATACATATTACTCTTATCAAATTAATTGGGGTAATTTTTAGGGTTTTCTATTTTTTTAATTTATTTAATATATGCGTATTATTTTTTCTAAAGTAAAAAAAAGTAATGACCCATTGCATAATAATAAATGGGTGAGTTTTTTTCTCTTATTGTTGTTGCCTATTGTTCACTGATTGGCTTGATGAAGACTTTCTGAACACTCAAGGGTACAATATTGGTATCGTAAAAATGTTGTATTGGGACATCCCTAATTCTAATAAGACTATATTTCTTCCACGCATCTCTTGTTGCTTGTAAATCACAAATAGAGCTGGCCACATCTTGTAGAAAAGCCAGTTTTCAGAAATGAACCTTTGCAGAATCAAAAGAACCTTATTCTGAGCTCAACTCAGCTGTGCCGATGTGGAATGGAATGCAATAAATGTGAGAAAGACATCGCCTTCAAATCATTTTCAAAATATGATGAAATAACTCAGTTTAGCAATTTTATTTGTGGTTCACTATTTGTTTAAACTACATACAAAGTTGTTGTGAACTATTGGTTTTCACGATGTAATAAATGTGGTGTTATTATAATTTTTTTGTTTGTTTAATCCAACGACTGGCTGGTCACATGCTCATATGTCATCCCTTCTCCACATTATAGATCTGTGGTTCTATCTTTTCATGTCAACCAAATGACCACTCTATTTCTTTAACAAACAGTGTGAAATGTAATAATTTTGTATTTTAACATTTATACCTGTTCGTAACATCACCTAGACTAACTTTGACAGAGATGAGAACAAGAAGTGAAGCGTTTCTTTTGATCTTGATCTCCCCCATTCTGCTTATTTTCTTTCTCTGTTCACACAAGCAGCAGTCAGCGTTCTCATTAAAGAAATATGTATGATTGTTAAGGTTCACCTGCTCAGACAGTTACTTCGAGATTAAAGAGTTTCTGTAATACTTCTTCTGAGTAGTTACAAGCAAGGGTGTTTTTGTTTCAGTGGCTTTTCAGCTGGAAAATATTTGCCTGTGAATTAAGTCATTTCAGACATGGAGCTGTTCAGTTTTAGGACATTCAGCCTAACTGATGCTTTTTAATTACTTCAAACTCATTACAGAAAATTATGTTTACAATGAGATGAATATTAATGACAGAATTTTTTTTGAGCCGCTGTCATATTTCCCCCTGTTTAGATTCTGCTTTATGCTCAGAAGACAAAATAAATCTCTTTGGATTAAGAGCATTTCTAAAGGTTTCACTGGTAAAATCACTGTAAGGGAGCATTGATCAGAGTCAGCCCGTTCTGCTGTAATCACTTGTGACATGAGGGACTTGCAGTACTTGTGCAGTGGTGTGTATGGATTACATTAAGGCTCGAACAGGGCTCTGCAGTAAAGTGCTTGCATTTGGAGTAAATAAAGCTTGACGTCTGGGTTGCCTCTGACTGACACGGAGCCAGCAAGCCAGGCCATAGGGCTAACTCAAACAAAACACTTCAATCTCTTACTATTGCTCTCCACAGCTCCCTAAAGACTTGATTGATCCACTGGCCAATCAGAGTACATTGATTACAGATTCCGTCCCTCCAAAACCCCCAACCTTTACTACAAGATCTTACCGGCCCTTGTTTAGTCCATTCATCTGCTGTCTATCAGGAGTACAGTTTTCATCTGAGACTCACTACTCCAGGCTCACACTTTTAAAAACATTTCCTTTTACATACAGTGTCTTCATTCCTGGAATGTTTTAGTATTGGAATGGCCCCTCTGTTTCCAGTTGCTTCTCAAACTTGTTTTGTCTTTGAACACAAAAGATAGTTGGTCACCCATGCCTGACTTGGAATTTTCAAGTAATTACGATACACAATTCAAAAGATGCTGGCAAAGATAAATCAATGTGTGTTAAGCTAGTATAGGTCTCAGCCATCCAGGACATGGTGAATCCATAAAATGTAAAAAAAAAAACTGAACTCTTACCTTGTGGCTGAAGATATTCCACTTCCTGTTTGAGAGGTTTTATCAATTAAAAAAGATGTCCGGAGTGTGTGGAGTTGTCAGTCTTTGTATAACTGCATGAGAGGCCTCATTATGTACTGTACTTGGATTCACATGCAGATTACACTAAAACTCACATACACATGCCGCTCACAATGGAGCGTCGTTAGGCTCTTTGTTAAGGCCTCTTCATACTTCCTCCGAACTGCTGAAATCGGCTCTCATTGTCCCAGTTGTGTAGCAAAAATAGTGTCTTTTTGTGCCTTTGACTTATCCACCCCTTCATGTCATAACCCAATGATAACATTTTTTTAGCTCCCTTTACATGAGAACTTACTTTTTGGTCAGAAGTTCGTGGGCGTGTTTGTTTGTGCTGAAATCACTCGGATGCAACATTTTGCTTCAAACTAATCGTGTCCAGAAACTAACTGTTGTACCTGAAATCAGACATTTAAAAGTTGGTCAAATGGTCAAAACTCGTGAATGGAGATAAAACAGACGTGCACAGAGGAGTCTGTCTGCCAAAAGGTGTGGTGCTTTAATCGGGACAGATTTTCACTCAAGTGTAGACTCTAGCAGGAAGAAACCTCATGCAGTGATGTATACAGCAGGAGGGGTTTCAGAGGAGCTTGGCGTAATGTGTCCCTGTGGCTATGAAAGGTGTGTGTGAAAACAAATGTTTAACAACCACGTGCTTTGACTGTTTGGCTGCAGATATGTAGAGGCCTTTAGCCCAAGAGATGTTTCGTCACATGCATGAATGTTGAATTAAAGTGGAACTGACTGGAACTCAGACTTAATCCTGCAATGTAGGTTTTTGAAAGTTAAAATCTGAGACCTCAATTGTTTCGTTTTTTCCTCATTTAATGGCTTCCTTCAACTCCCTTTCATATCTGTATTCTCTGTAGAAAATATGGTAAAATGGTAAATGACTTTCACTTGTGTAGCATTTTATAAAGTCCTAGGACTCCAAAGCACTTCACACTACAATCAGTCATTCACCCATTTATACACACATTCACACACTAGTGGTAAGCTACATTGTAGCCCCAGCTTCCCTGGGGCATTGGGACATGGTTTAAGATATATTACCTTGGTGTAGATGGGAGGAGAAATAAACTAGGGATGGTTTTGAAGTAGGAGTTTTCAGAGAATGTAGTAGATGTAAAAAGAGTGTCAGATACTGTAGGGCAGGGGTGGGCAGTCCTGGTTCTCAAGGGCCACAGCCCTGAATGTTTTACTTTTTTCCCTGCTTCACCACAGCTAATTCAGTCATTGAATGATTTCCAAGTTCTACAGAAGTCTGATAATCACTCATTCATTCAAATCAGGTGGGTTGGAGCAGAAAAACAAGGACCAAGATTGCGGTCCAAGCAGATGTTTTCAGTTAATAAAATGGAATGGATTTTAATCTGATAAACTATTATTTGACAATTAGGTTAATTAGTTGTTTGCATTCCCACTTGGAACAAGAATATCTCTCAAACATGGCCATCAGGGAGATTGTTACTTGTTTTTTTTTTTGTTTTGTTCAGCTATTCAGCAGAAGTTAGGTTGGAGGTTTTACCCGTTCTTCAGTTAACAAGTCATATTCTTGACAACTGCATTTCTGCTGTGTTTTTTAAGATGATAAACTGGTACGCTAAGTGTGGGGAGTCATACAAAGTTTTCAGCCCTTGATATTTCTCCTACTCCTCGTGCTCTTTCTTGATTTTACAATTGCATGGGATTGTTATGCTTACCACCACTTCCCTCTTCTGTACTTTATTTCCTATAATGTCCAGTTGGCCATTACCTGAATTATAGTCTGTATCTGGATGCCTCACTGTATGTTAGCCTTGTTGTTCTCCACCACCCTTTGTGTAGTCTGCCACTTTGATTGTGATATGTACATCTAGTCCATACTCTGCACAGATGTTCCTGTATACTATTCCAGCCACTTGGTTATGGCAGTCAGTGTCCAGTTTGCCTACTTTCATCTTACATCCAGCGATTATGTGCTGGATTGCCTTAGGGGCATCATTGCATAGCCTACATCTTGGGTCCTGTCTGATGTGGTAGATGCTGGAATTTATGTTCCGGTGTTGAGGGCCTGCTCTAGTGCTGCCATGATCAGTGCCTCTTTGCTGTCCTTCAGATCAGCCTTCTGTAGTCTCTGGTAGGATTTGTTGATTTCAGCCACCTCCTCAGTCTGTTGGCAGCACATGCAGTTCATTGTTTTAAGTTGACCAAAGGAGTAAATATTTTTGTGTGTGTGTATGTGTGTGTGTGCCTTCATTCTAATTTTGTTGTTGTTTAGTGCTGACAATACAAAAAAAACCCAATACCTAATATTTAAAGGAGGAAAGTTTCTTCACGATTTTTTCTGTTTCAAAGTGATTGTGGAAGTTTGCAAGTTATTTTACGTTCTCATGAATCATTTACTGAGATGCCTTCTTCAGATTTGACTCTGTGTAAATGTGTTCTAAAGATGACAATAATGACTTATATTTGACATTGAACAGTTACTCATCTCATGTCTTTTTTTTTCTTTGACAGGTGGGATATTTGAGTCCATTGAAAGTGGTCCATCTGGTGCTGAAGAACTGGCCTTTAAATTTGCTTTAAACACAATCAACAGAAACAGAACCCTACTGCCAAACACCACACTTACCTATGATATCCAAAGGATAAACATCTATGACAGTTTTGAAGCCTCCAGGAAAGGTATGTATATTTAAAGTTTGAAGGATGTGGTTTGCACATTGAATCGCGGCACAATAGCCCAGTGTTCAAAATTAGACTAGTCTTTCTGTGTAGAATTTGTCCTGTGCATGTGTGGATTCTCTGTAGGTATTCTGGTTTCCCCAAACCAGCAACATATATGATGGGTTGAAATGACCTAAAATGTCCTTTTACCCATTGACTGATGAGAATATGGACTTGCCCCTTGTTACCTTGAATAAGCTATGGGCACAGAAGGTCTTGAGGGAAGGTATGAGGTGATTGAAGGAGTCATGGATTTAATAAGGCTTACGTTCACACTGCAGATTTTAGATTGGATATTTTTATTAGACCTTTTTTGTGTGGTGTATCACATTATCAATAAAATGGGACCTCCTTCAGACTTCAGTATGAACTGTTAACAGTTCAGAGCAGACCATTTATGCATAAAAGAAGTGATGTCACACACAGCAGGCTTTGTTTGAGGAACCACACGTTACATGTGTTTGTGTGTCTAATTCTGGAGTTCTTGTGCAATCAGAAAGAATTCAGTTATCACCTGAATATTTTTTATTTTTATAAAATGATGGTCCCCCATGACAAGAACAGCCTACATCTTGTGCTAAATTTCAGTAAATGGTACAAATGAAGCTGCAGTCTGTGTTATGGGGCTCCTTTCACTTAAGGGGGTAGCATTAGAATGTCAATCATTTCAGTGCCCTCAGTGTTTCATATGGTCATTGCATTTGGCCAGTTTAGTATTGTCCCTCAGGGCCCCCCTTCAGCTCGGGGTGCTAGACAAATGCCTACCTACCTACCTTCCTGCTGTGTGACATGACAGCTCTGCTTGTTTTCTACAGCTGGGAGAACAAGCGTTCCATATGAGACTCTTTAATTTGGCTTAAAATATAGGACATCCCAGCTAATACAGGGCAGTTGGCAACCCTAGCCCAGCTTTGAAGGCATTGTTTACTCACAATGCTAATGTCTGAGCTAGCATTATACTCTCTGGCTCTTTAGTAGTGGAGGAGCCATGTTATTATGAATGTACTTTATATCAGGAGCAAAGCCCCTATTAATCCTATATTTGTTTCTTTGTAGCTTGTGACCAGCTTTCTCTTGGTGTGGCAGCCATCTTTGGTCCCTCCCACAGTTCCTCTGCCAATGCAGTTCAGTCCATTTGCAACGCTTTGGGTGTTCCACACATTCAGACCAAATGGAAGCACCAGGTATCAGACAACAGAGATGTCTTCTATGTGAGCCTATATCCGGACTTCTCCTCTCTCAGCCGTGCCATCCTGGACCTAGTTCACTTCTTCAAGTGGAAGACTGTTACTGTGGTTTATGATGACAGTACTGGTAAGGCTCAAATCATTCCCCAATTTAATGGCACACATTTGTTTTATTTTAATCCCATAGTCCATCTGAAAGGAAAAAAAATCATCTCTTTTACCTATTCCTATGACAGATTACCTAAAAACTGTCTAAAATATTGGCATTCAATTACCCAAAGCTATGTCAATTGAAATATTGCTTTACTTTATTCCAAATTATTTAATTAGAAAATGATTTAAATAAAGCATTCAACACTATTGACCACACCATTCTCCTTGAAAAGCTAAATAAAAATTACATTAGAGGACAGCACTACAGTGGGTATAGTTATTTGAAAGACAGGAAACATTTTGTACAAATAAATGATGTAAGAACTGAACTCTGTAATACAACATGTGGAGCTCCTCAATGTTCTGTACTTGGACCAAAGTTATTTATTTAATATGTGATCAACTTGGTTAATGTCAGGGTTGTTTTAAACGTGTTCTATTTGCAAAGGAAACAACATTTATTTGTTTGGATAAAGATATAAAATGGATG